TACCCATCTGTCGGATGGTTTTTTCTCTTTCCGTCGCGAACACTGTCGAACACCGAGAGCCATTGTGCTCGATTGGATATGCCCTCGTTAACTCGGCGAGCTGATACATAGAGCGGAAGCGCCAGCCGCCCTCTTCGCACTGCTCGTTCTCTGGGCCATGCAAAGTCCACTGAAGACATTTCTCTCCTGTGCAGTTTTCATCATTTTATGGGAATGCTGTTCCACTGATTTCGGTAAGTTTTGTTTTTGCTTCTTGTCCTCGTTTCTGAGCAAACCGTACGTTATTCGATATGCCACGTGGTTGTTGTGCTTCATGTCAGAGACACCGTGGATCGAAACTGCTAATTAACCTTTACCAGTTTTTCGTTGGCTTTGTATATTAATATTTCTGTCATTACTTACGGATTTTTCCGTCCCGTTCCTTAGAACAAAGGTGAAGTTAAAAGCTGTTCTGACCGCACGAGTACCTCAGGCATGGCGGAATAGACAGTCGACCTGATCGACCATATGCTGTAATGAACGAAGTTTATAAAAACGTTCAGCAACAGAGAAAATAGTTAATCATCCTCGGTTCTCTATCCATTGTTCAAGGCAACAATAAGACGTAGAAATTCCTTTAATCACCGACGCTTTTCGACACTGCACATCTGCGTCATCATCACGGTTACATTTCACAAATGAAGTGGCACTACATTATGAAGTGGGTTTTAATGACAGTAGCATTTGTTCGATTGCTTCTTCCGACTATAAGCTGGTAGACGACATTCCTGCGTCACTCAGAATATACGAACTCATGAGTTCGTTCCACGGTCGGCTTTCTTGAGCCACCATAGGTGCGTTTGGTCTCTTCTTCTCAATGGAACTCTTCATGTTTGTTCCACTAAAGGAGTGTCTCCAGTAGAAAGCGCTGGAAACTATGTCAGAATGGTCCCACTTACCCTTCCTCATAGCCGCTAAATGTTCCGCAACTCGTTTATCGAATGTTCTTATGATTTATCGATGCTCTTGTTGCAACGATCTTATAAACCACGTTCATCTAACAGAACTTTCCGGTTGAGGAGTTTCCAGTAAATGTACAATCCCAATAAACCTCCACATTCTCCTGGACTGAGGAAATGGTTATTCAACTTCCAACTGTCCCTGCATCTGAACTTACTGTTTTCAGTTTCTGACTCAATCATCCGGCATTTAGCAGGTGGATTGCGCCGGTGACAACACTTGCTCCACTTTTTCAAATTCAGGCCTTCGTTGTCTGTCTGGTTTTAAACGGTCTGGCACTTGAGATTCTTAATAACCTCTCGTCAGTCGAACTTCCCGTTGCCACCGTACTGTAGATCAGGGGAGGCAGCGTTTTGAAGTCTATTTCGACTGTCGTTTTAGCTATCTTAATAGGCTGCCCACTGGTTGGGCTTACAGTGCCTTGGCATACCTTCTGAAACTTAGCTTATTTCCAAAATCAGAAGGACATCGGTTGCTTTCCGAGGTAGCGGCCTTAAGCCATGATGTGACGATTGAACCTGCGGAGAAAGCGCTCAAATATGGTCGATATGGTCGCTGCCTGTCAGAAAACACAGAACTGCTGCTACGACGCTTTGAGGTAGGATTTTGCAACGATAGTGCTCATTTAATTCCTTAAACCGAGTCCCTTGTATAACACCAGTCTTTCATACGTCGGTGCAAACATGGCATTCGTCAGTGGTAATCATTGTCCATCTGATCATATGAACTGGCTTAAAAAGTATTGACTGTTTTTCGATTCATAAACATTTGCTTGCAATGTCACCTTGAACAAAGCCTTAGCTGTGATTACAACACGGTCGCTATGTGTTGGTATAGCAGCGTCACTGACGAATCCTGCTTCTTAGTTAATTGACTCGAAATTAGCTCCCACTTAATAACTTTGATGATGCTCAACGGCCTATTTCTGTTCTGCGTAAAATGGCAAACCAACCAACTTTACAACTTTTTCGTTTCGAACCTTTTTTCGGTTCGAAATATCAGAAGTATAGTTTTTCGAAAGGGTTTTTAGTCGACTACCGTAGTTT